ATAAGTAGGCACAAGGATGTAGGGCATGGTCTTCCCCGGACCGCTGAGAAAGAACCGCTCCCACCCCAGTGTCAGACACATCCACCTCAACCACGAACTGCCGTGAGGGGTCAGGTTGGAGGAGTACGGGGGCTGTGGTGAACCGGTCTTTGAGGTTTTGGAAGGCCTGCTCCGCTGTCCTGGACCACGCAAACTTCACCTTGGTGGACGTGAGCTGAGTGAGGGGGGCTGCTATAGTGCTGTAACTCTTGATGAAACAGCGGTAGAAGTTTGCGAAGCCCAGGAAGCGTTGCAGGTCCTTCACACAGGTGGGGGTAGGCCAATGGGTGACTGCAGTGATTTTAGCTGGGTCGGCGCGGAGTCTACCCTGTTCGATGATGAACCCCAGGAATGTCACGGAGGAGGAGTGGAAGAAGCACTTCTCAGCTTTTACATAAAGGCAGTTTTCCAGGAGTCGAAGAAGGACCTGGCGAACGTGCTGGATGTGCTCTGTGAGGGAAGAAGAGTAAATGAAAATGTCATCGAGATAAACAAAAACAAACCGACCAAGAAAATCACGGAGGATGTCATTGATCAACCCCTGGAAAACCGCCGGGGCATTGGTGAGGCCAAAGGGCATCACCAGGTACTCAAAGTGCCCAAGTGGGGTCTTGAAGGCAGTCTTCCACTCATCGCCCTCCCGGATGCGTACGAGAGGAGAAGCAGAGGAGAGAAGTGGTAATGGATATTTGTTTTTGACTGTTATGGCATTTAAACCACGATAATCTATTCATGGACGGAGCCAAATGAATCTGAAAACAGAAAGTGAAAAACGTACAAATATAACAAAGAATGAAGAAAAATAAAAACTTAAAAATATTATGCAATATAATAATGTTGTAATACTACATTTGTGAACATATTGTTCATTTATGTTTGAATAAATCAGGGGCGTCAGAGTCAGATAGGCCCCCTAAAACATGCTTAGGATTTCAGTCTTGTCACAGATCTTGCTGAACTGAATTAAGTGGACCCCTAAATGTCTTGCAGTTACCCTGTGTCCATCTTTATGTGAACATCTGAAGATGCACATTTTCACACCCACTCATGAATTTTCTCTTGTTACCTGACTGATTAGAACATCATAATCTTTCAAATTCTGTATTGTGGTAACAATATATGTAGGCTGTAGCGGCCCACTCTCTGAAATGGGTCTACTCTAAATAGGCCAGGGAATTCCCAGTCCTATTCCAGGCAAGTGGTGCACTCTACTGTCATACTGGATGACATCAGATGTCAAAATCTCCATCATGAAACTGTAGATCAGCGGGCTCTGGCACGTTTTAAATGGTCTTCATTACCCTTGTTGGGCATTTAATCTGGTTAATCATGGTAGCATTATTTTTCTCTGGGGCCAAATTAGAGCCTTTAACGTTAATGGACATTTCACCCACAGTCATACCTCTCAGGCATCCTTTCCAGTGTCTACAAGTTTCTCTTCAGTATGGTCCTCTCATATGATATCATTACATTAAAGCTACAGAGTTAATGACATTTTTTCTGAAATATAAATCCTAGGCAATCTTTGAAATACCCCAAGGGTCTTTTATAGGCACTTAAGAAGTAGGCCATTGAAATTATTGCATAAAAGCAGCATTTGTCTGAGGCTCCTCTATGTATATGTGATATGTTGTCAGGTGTGTTGAACTTTTAGCCAGTCAGTGCTTAAGCTAAAAAATTTAAATAAATAAATAAACTAATGTCATGTGTTTCCTTTCCAGAACTGCACAAAAACAAAATGCCCTGCATCAAGACCAGAGAAGAAAGATGTTTGGTGAGTGAAATGTCAGCATGCAGGTGCAGTGGTTGGTACAACAACAGGGAGCCCCTGTAACTACAGTGGCACTGTTAAATCACTACAGCATCAGCTGGAGTTCCAGGGTGGTAAACACTGTACCAACCCCTGTGGAACAGGCAGTGCAAGACCTTTATTTTTCTGCTCTGATGAGAACACGCCTGAACTCTGTTTTTAAGGTATATTCAGAACCCATAATGAACTCTAACAATCTGGATATAAGGTAGCCTAGGCCATTTCATCTGCTGCACAATAAAAATATTTTAAAGGTTGTTCTCTATTTGCTTAATAATAATAGTTAATAATAATGTATTTATTTATATAGCGCTTTACAACACCGAAGGGAGCTCAAAGTGCTTCACAATAAAACAAAGATAAAACAGAGCATGCCAAAATATATAAACAAACAAAAGAAAAGTTAACATTGCACAAATTTAAAACAACGATGTGTAAGAACTATAACACTCCTGTAGAATAAAAATGAGTCAAAATACAGAGAGAGTAAGATTACAAAATATAAAATCAGGAAGGCCTGTAGGCCCTGTATAGCATTGCTGCTGAACATTAGATGCCAAAAGCCAGTCTGAATAAATGTGCCTTTAATTTAGACTTAAAAACCATTAACTCTGTTATAGATCGAACCTGAGGGGGCAGGGCTTATTCAAATTAGGATGATAGACAGAAAATTTAAAACATTTAGAATTGCTAACAGTGATCTAGTCTATATATATTAATGTCATTTTTAATACTTTTTTTCTAGTTGCCAGGATTAGGAATTTGGAATTTGAATATTATTTTATCAAGATGATTAGATGATACTTTAAATGTTGATACACAGTTTTTTTAGTCTTATTTTACAGAATATACAAATTAGCTGCGTGACATGTATAGCACATGAGAAGCACAAACTGGGGTTAATTACCTAATATGATCAGGGATGAATTGCCTGGATGCCTGAAAGACATGATCAGGGTAAGAACCACCCCGAGGACAGACAGACAGTAGTGCTTGGCTAGTGGCTGGCAGTCGCACGTAGTATGTGAGTTTACTATATATGGGCAAGGCGAGAGCTGCTTTCGCTTCCGTGTTTGTGTGATTGAGTGCACAACCGGGAGAGCTCTACTGTCTGCACCGTTTCATTCATTTGAAAGAGTAACGTGAAGTTAGAGACCAGCAAGGAAGATGCCGTATGAACTGAGTAAGTGTGTTTACTTTTAATGGCAATGGTTGGGAGAAAATGTAGGCTAAAGAAATTTTTATTCTGGACGACAATCGAGCTAGTATCAGGTAGCTCGCAGCTAGCTAGCCTCGCCCATAGCTGCACGATTCTGACACTTCATTTCGCATTTGAAAGGCAAAATCTCGGCACTGGCAGCGATTCTGCCAGATTTCGGACAGACTTGTGTCTGATAAGCACGGCTTATTGTGAAGGCGCTCTTGCTTGAAATGCAGGGCGTTACAGGCTGTTCGTATAAGTTAGCGTTAGCTAGACGAGCTAACGTCAGTGAGAGGAAATAGTTGTGCTCGCATCGCATTGTTATGACATGTCCAGACCGAGTGGCTAACGTTCAGGAAGCGCTGCTGGGTAAGCAGTCTAGGCTGTGGCTGCTGAACAAGCACGAAACAAATTGTTTGGCTGTAATTTTAATGGCAAGCTGGTGGAGAGCAAATATTGTGAGAAGAAAATAGATGTTTGGTCTTGAGTTAACGTTACTGCTCGCATTGTTTTATGGCTAAGAGCAAAAACAGCCTTGCAGTGTCTGACTTTGTATATAAAACTACGCTGATATATTTTGTATGCATGGTTTTATTTTTGTGTAATAAGAACCCAAACGATGCAATAAGCCATTTGATTGGTAATGCACTTTAAAACATCTTGCAGCAGTCTTTAAGCATGTGTAAATAGAAACACAACATCTAAATTCTTTTTTGCCAAGATAATGTGTATAGTCTTAAAATACACCACCTATATTTAGTTGATATTAAAGTACTGTTTTTGTGATGCAGTAGCCAAACCCTATGCCAACCTAATTTCTTTAGGTGAAAGATAAACTTAACCATGGACACTGCCTTGACAGTTTTGTACCAAATTGGTCTGAACCCTGTTTTTATCAGTGCAGAGAAACGTGTCTGGAAAGATCTGAGAGGTACCAGAGACTTGTTCTGCACATCCGGTCCTCTGAGTCACTAATGAGGAACTAAGTGATTCTGATTAACTCTGCATACTCTTATAATGTGTCCGAAACTAGTGGTGTAAGGCGTTAGTTGAGGGAGAACAAGTCAGATTTTCAGGCTGTCTTCAAACAATCCCTTAATAAATAGTACAGTTTAATATTCATTTCATTTTTATTAATCTTACTGCTTCACATTGTCTCTCTTTCTCATCTTTCTTGTCATATCTGCTTTTTTAGAACATGTATTTGCCAGTCTCCCACAGATGGAGAGGGGAGTTGCAAAAGTGATCGGTGGTGATCCCAAAGGCAACAACTTCCTCTATACCAATGGGAAGTGTGTCATCATCAGGAACATTGAAGTAATTATAGTATTTTTTTAGATATTTTAAGTGTCATTTTAATTCTTTTTTCCTTTACTAACTTGTTTTTTTTTATTTATTAACCACGATGGAAATTTACTCACAATTTACAGTAAACCATTTTGATTGTACTAGATTCAGTGAGTCATGTTTTAAAGATTGAATTGACACCAACCTCAAAAGCATAATTTCACTGACCTACTGAAGGCTTTGTTTATTGCACTGCTGAGCAGGCAGAATCTGTATGAAGTGTAGTCATAACTGTACACCCTACAATCTGACTGGCACTGTGCTGAATGGACACAGTTTCCATATCACTTCGGCACACAAAATGACACATGCGGCTTATAATGACCTGACACTTTGTACAGCAGTTGAATATAACAAGATCATGACAAATCCAGGTCGTAATAGTTTGGTCATTGTACTCACTCTGTCAACTCTGCCAACACTTAGAAGTTTGGCTGCAGTCATAGTTGGTTCCATACAAAGCTTACTTTAATAGGTTTACAAGCCAGTTGAAACAGTATTGTCACTACTTGCTGCCGCTTGATTGTTAGAAACCCATTGTCATACCTGTCACCTGCACTCCATTTACGAGCTTTCCCCACCAACACTGCTACATAACATGTGGCACACTGGCATGGCTAAATGGAGCCTAGCCTCTGCACTTGTAACCACACCTCTGATATGTTAGGGTGTATTGAATACTGAGTACAGCAACAAGGCGAGAGCTATAAAAAAATTAAGACACAAAGGCATGCACTGGTGATTCGCTGCCACATTGTGCCATTTTAGAAATTGGCCCTGCTGATATCTCTCCTTTCCTGTATTTCCCAGAACCCGGCTATAGCAGACATTTATACTGAGCATGCCCATCAAGTCACTGTTGCCAAATATGCCCCCAGTGGATTCTACATTGCATCTGGAGGTAAACATCCCATGTATGAACATGTCAGCAACACTCTGCATTTAGTTTCCACAGAAATGTTACTATTATAATAACATCATTGTAACTGAATCCTTTAGATGCATCAGGAAAGATCCGTATCTGGGATACCACTCAGAAGGAACACCTGCTCAAGTATGAGTACACCCCTATTTCAGGGAAGATCAAGGACATTGCATGGACGGAGGACAGCAAGAGGATTGCTGTTGTTGGGGACGGACGAGAGAAGTGAGCATCAGTAGTTTTCATATTATGAAAAAGGCTCGTGTTCAACCAGACGGCACTCAGAGAGCGCAAACCTCAGCCAAGGCAGCTCAGTTTCCCCATAATGCCATTACACCTAAAAACAATATTCCCATCATAGTTTGACCCTCATAATACGATTCCTTGACCATGAAAATCTACCCCTAGCAGTTGGAATCATGTTAATACCATTAGTAATAAGAAAATAAATACCTGACTAATGATGGTTTTCTTCAGGATGTAGCTCAGTAACTTTTGAAGATGCATCAAATTTGGTGACACCCTAATGAATCAGAGTTCCCATTAGAATTTGTTTTAAGACTATTATTATTTGTTGTCTCATAGTAGTGAGTTCTATAAATTTGAACCTTCTGGATCAGCACATTCAGAATATGACTTGGATCCAGATCAGACTTGGGTGTGTGGTAGCCCTTATGTGGATGCTCTCTTGTAATTTTTGTCTAAGCATTGTTTGGAGTAAGAAGCAAAAATATTGAAATTGGCCCTATCTCACAATGGTGAAGAATGCTTAGAAAAAAATCCTGGATTTGGATGATGATCTGGATCAGCACCAAGCTCTAATGGATTGTTCTGTGGGCCAAACCCTACCTCTCAAAAAATATAATCAAAATCCATTCATTCCATTTTGAGTTATGCTGTGAACAAATAAACAAACCAACCAACAAACACCCATAAAAACATAACCTCCTTGATCAAGCTAATACAGTAAATGAATGTTGTTTTCCATTAAACACCAAGCACCATGACTCAGTCTCATGAGATGCTCCTCCCAGTGATTAATGTCCCCTGGGTACCTGCCAGTTTGTGGGTTTTTTTTTTTTGGATATTTTTACTGTACCAAGTTGGCATATTTGTTATAATACACTTATTTTTCTTTTTTAAAATATGAACCAAGTGCTGCACACTGTGTGAATGCTATGTACAGTACTCTAGCACATTCCCTGCTTCACCAGCTATGTAGGCTAACTGTTCATAAAAATTTAGAAAAAGACCACACATTGTACAGCCATTATTTTAGTGTGACTAGGCATGAAACCATATTCTACATGAACACATTTTTATTCAGTTACATTGCTGGGAAATTTGTTTTTATATTAAAAATGTGTTAACATTTTTTCTTTTCACAATTCTCACATGAACCTGACACTGTCTGTTCATCTCTTGTGTTCAGGTTTGGAGCAGTGTTCCTGTGGGACTCTGGCTCCTCAGTGGGAGACGTTTCAGGTCACTCCAAATTAATCAACAGTGTGGATATAAGGCAGAAACGCCCTTACCGTCTTGCCACTGCTAGTGATGACACCTGTGGGTCCTTCTTCGAGGGCCCTCCCTTCAAGTTCAAGTTTACATTACGTGTGAGCTGCATAAATTAAGATTCCCCCCCCCCCAAAGGGGTATTTGTGCTTAAGCAAAGTAGTGAACCAAGTTGACTGTGTGGGAACTGTCTCAGGAAAAAAGGGGTTCTTAAGCTCAGAACAGACCAACCCCAGGCTAAATGTCGTCATCTACTTGTAGTCTTACTTTTGCCTTTGAAGTGATAAATTTTTTTTTTTTTCCTTCCCTGACTTTGTTGTTAACCTAAAAAGCCTTGTTGTCTGTTTTTAGAATTCAGATGGCAATTGTATTTTTAAGGATCCAAATGTAAATTACCTTCTGTAATGATGGGTTGTGATAGTTGCATGTAAAACATATCATCCTGTAGGAATACTCTTATAGCCAAGGGCCAAATGTTTTGATGTTATCTTAGTTTTAGTGAAATCACAGCTTTGTTTGATTTAAGAATCAAATTGGTAAAAGAAAGTTTTGGGACTGCAGCAGCAAACTGCTTTGATTATGACTTTCTTTACAGTTAGCCTCAGGATTTCAGCTGCCTTGTACAAATGCTATGGCTGGTTTTGATTGGTGCCATTCTTGCAATATCCACAGTTGAGTTTTTTTGTCGTTTGACCTAGTCCCTGTTGAGCCTTTAGGTTCTAAAGTTAAAAGTCTGGACTATGTAGTAATGTGTTCTTTATGGATAATTGTCCACTATTTTTCTTCCCCTCTGTCTCCCCGGTGACCACTAAAGGATCACAGCCAGTTTGTCAACTGTGTCCGTTTCTCTCCAGATGGAAATGTGTTTGCTACAGCTGGGGCTGATGGTCAGGTCAGTAATGGATAACCAGGTGTGGCCATGTGATCATGTAAACAACTTGCACAACAAGGTTACCTTTTCCAGATAAGTAACTGATATGGATGTAAATAATACAAATATAATCTAGGGATGTCTCAGTCAAGAGGTTGGCCTGTGGAGCAGAATGTCACACAAACTGTAGGTGGCCACAATAATATGGTATTTTCTTAATAATATGATATTTCCACAGATTTTCATCTATGATGGAACAAAGGGTGAGCTCATTTCTCCACTGGGTGGAGAGAAGGCCCACAATGGAGGAATCTATGCTGTAAGTTTTTTTTTTTTTTTGTTATCCCCTTTGTCATTTTCTCACCAAGTGTCTTGGTTCACTGTGTGAGTTTTACTTTCACAAAAGCTAGCTTTAATCGGCATAGCACACAGTCTGCCAGTAATGTGTAGAGGCAGGAAATGCTTTGTTCCTTATTCAGATCAGGGATAATGTTCTCAAGTTACCTATTTTCCTTGTTTTATTTGTTTTCCGCATAGCATTGGTGTTTCTGTTGATGGGTGAACATTTATGTTGTGCTTTCTTTACACAAAAGTTTTGTTACCTGTATATTAATGGAGCCCTTTCTTTCAATCTCCTGTGCTTTATATCCTCCAGATCAGCTGGAGCCCAGACAGCTCCCAACTGATCTCTGCCTCAGGGGACAAGACCGTGAAGCTCTGGGATGTTGGCACACGTACGGCTGTCACCACCTTTAACATGGGCAATGATGTGACAGACCAGCAGTTGGGCTGCCTGTGGCAGAAAGACCACCTCCTCAGCATCTCCTTGTCGGGACACATCAACTACCTGGACAAGAACAACCCTGACAGGCCCATACGCACAATCAAGGTCAGACTATTAAAAATGTCAAAGTTCTGTTTCTGTTATCATTTGTGTTCCTTGATACAAATAAAAACATTTGCTGAAGTTAATGAATTGGGTGAGCCACTCTTGAGTTGCTGAAACTTGCTAGTATTGAAGATGAAGAACATGTTGTAAACATGTATTTTATATGTGAAATTTAAATGAGCTCCTACAGATCCAGAAGTTTGTAACTGTGGGTCCAAATGTACAACACGCACTGAAAGTAATGTGCTGCTGTGATATTCCAAGCTCGCATATAAATTCACAATTCATTTACAAAATTGAATGTTTTCATTGTTAAAATTTCACAATATACTCTATGTACACAGAAGCTGTTAATGCAGAATAGATTAAAACAGTATTTCCTACCTTTCACATAAAGTTCATAGCTTTTGGTTTTCTGTTTATTATCAATGGTTTTTGAAAACAACTCTTGAGCTATGACTGGGGGGGGGAGTCAACCTTTCACTAGAGCTGACACTGAAAACTTCTACCTGGTAAACGTTCTTGCCAGAAATGGTGACGTGGCAGATGGTGTAAAATTACACGGATATTCTTGAAGCTCCAGTATCTCAAACTCTCAGGTTGTATAGGGGCTGACCCAGCAATGGGATGAGAGTTTGTGGTTTACAGTATGTGGTAGAATGTAGATGGCAGAACTGGAAATAATGTGCTGCCAAATCTCTCAAGTGAAATGACTGTAATGGGTAAGGGCAAATATTTTATTTTTACTGTTTGTATTTGCATTGAAGACATTTGTTCATCTTACAGGGTCACAGCAAATCCATCCAGTGTATGACTGTTCACAAAAGTGAAGGGCGACAATACATCTACTCGGGTAGTCATGATGGGCACATCAATATCCTTTGACTGCTGATGTGGTGCCAGTAATGACTGTAAAGATCATTCGCTTGCACAGAAGTCAGTCATTTATCCAGTATGTACTGTCTTAAGATATAATATTTAAGCAAATTACATACATTTCCTTGTTGGATATCTTCTTTTTGTATATCTTGCCACATGTCCAGAAGGTCGTTTTTTTTTTTTTTTCTGCAACGTTGAGTATCCATATCTGCAGTAAATGTTGTCCTTAACATTTGCCTCACATTACTGGGATGCAGACACCGGGAATAATGACTGTCTCAAAGGGAAAGGCCACAGCAACCAGGTGAGCAAGATGGTGGTCAATGAAGCCGATGAGCTGGTGACGTGCAGCATGGATGATACACTGCGCTACACCAACATCAAGAAGAAGGAGTACAGGTGGGGGCGTCATTACATGTGACTGTACAGATAATAAGTCTGGAACAAGCCTAGTGGGGACTATGATTTTCTGCATTTTGTCTGGTAATGAATGGATGTCAGTGTGGTTACAGCAGTTGTCTGCAGGAGAGGAAATTAAGTTTTGAAGCAGTCCTTTATTTTGACTGTTGTAATGGGTGGATGCACTTAAGCTATAATCAGTACTCATTTTCCTTGAAATTAAGATAAATTAATCTGCATCCATTGAGTTCTGATGCCCCAATTTTTCTCAGAGCATGTTTGCAGTGTTTTAATGTAATAACATTAATAGGAAATAGTACTTAATAAATATTGATTACTATACAGTCCAATCGTAGGATTACAGTAAGTCCAGCATCAATGAGTCAATTATATTTTAGTCTCTTAAACCATAGATGACATTTCATGCAAATTCATTTGGAATTGAACATGATATTGGAATATGCCTTGGTTTCTTTTACCTTAAACTAAGCATTGGTTTTCAAAATTAAAGACTTTGTCTATTTCTATATGTTACTAAAAGCTTAACAATATAGATAACACACACACTGGTGGTTTTCAGTGCCTCTGATGTGGTGAAGATGGATTTGCAGCCCAAAAGTGTCTCTGTAGGACCAGGAGGGCTTTCGCTGGTTGTGTGCATTGGCCAGGTAATGCTTTGTCGCTTAGCCTAACCTAAGTGTTTAAGGAGCCCATGACATGCTTTTCCTTGTTTTTTGACTTATCTTCAATGTTACAATGGTGAATTATGATCTTAGATGCAGCCTAAATCTCAAAAAAAGGAGGCGTACATACATTTTTTTTTTCCATCCATCCATCCATTTTCTTCCGCTTATCCGGGGCCGGGTCGCGGGGGCAGCAGTCTAAGCAAAGATGCCCAGACCTCCCTCTCTCCAGACACTTCCTCCAGCTCGGGGAATGTCGAGGCGTTCCCAGGCCAGCCGAGAGACATAGTCCCTCCAGCGTGTCCTGGGTCTTCCCCGGGGCCTCCTCTCGGTGGGACATGCCTGGAACACCTTCCTAGGAAGGCGCCCAGGAGGCATCCAAAAGAGATGCCCGAGCCACCTCAGCTGGCTCCTCTCGATGTGGAGGAGCAGCGGTTCTACTCTGAGCTCCTCCCGGGTGACCGAGCTCCTCACCCTCCTCATCCTTTTTTTTTTCTAACAAAATAAAGCATTACGTGATAGTTTAAGGATTTCCTTGAATGGTCATAATCTCCAGGCAGTTGCACATTCATGTAAGCTTGCCTGACATTGTCCGGTACAAACGGAATTCTTCTACTGCACCCGGTTTTGTGGATATATTTTACCTCCTGCTGCTGCACTGTGACCAGAGGATGTGGAGAAATATACAGGGCCTGAGGTTACGGTATGTCTGGGAATGTTCCTGTATAGGAACTTTCTGTTTTACCTGACTGGGTCTAACCTACAAGCAGCCAGCTCCACACGGTTAGTGATCAGCTTGTCAATGCTGGATTCCCCTTGAGCACAGTACCCGTTTGTTTTGACTGCTTGAGGCCAGTGTGTCTGCAACGTGTGATGTAATGCTGGCTAATGAGTGGTTTAACGGCCCATGATGTTATTGTTGGTGCTATGCTACCTGTTGGAATTAATTTCACTACTTTGGAACTGTATGTGGTTGTGTGGGGGAAGACACAGCGACCACTAGTTGGATTTACTGACCTTAGGGCTACTTGAATTGAGTGACATTTCTACTACTCGGTGGGACTTAATGGTAAGTTTAAAAAAAAAAAAAACAAAAAAAAAACACACACATTGCATGTCTGTTAATGCCTTGTTTTGGTAATGTTAGAATAGTTGTAAGGCTGGAGAAGTTACCATGTCTGCATTATGCCAGTTAAACTATGGGGTTTCTCAATTAGCGGCTTTAGAGTGTTGTACATCTCTTCATTGGTACTGTTGTTTACCTATCTATGGAGGAGACATTCATATTAATTAATGCTGTTGGGGTTTGGTATGCTGTTCACTTTCAATATAACACGGGCAACAGGAGTTGTGTGCGTTCATAAACTATCCTCTCGTTTTTAGGAAGAAGCTATCTGGTTTTACCGTTCTGAAATAACTATTTGGAGTTGTGAGGGGTGCCAAGCTAATCTAGAGGTGCCCAAGATTAACGTTATGTTTGGTGTTGGCGCCAGGTTTATGTTATGTGTTATATTTTATTCTTGTATTTTGTGAATGTGTCAAGGATGTAATTGATCTGACCTGCAAGACAAATTTACCTACGGGTATAAATAAAGTAACCTAAATATTAAATGATGAGATTAACATGCCATGGGTTCTTTAAATCCAGTGTTTTCACATGGGATTAAAAATGTAGGTGTTAACAAATGTCTGTTTTGGATGACCTCATTCCTCATCTCTTGCTTTCCTAGATTGTCTTGTTGAAGGATAAGAAAAAAATCTTCACATTGGACCATCTCAGCTATGAACCTGAGGTCGGAGCTCTCCACCCTGGTGGCACCACAGCTGCAGTGGGAGCAACGGTAAGTGGACATCTAAAACAAATATCTTGCCAATTTGAATTTAGTTTTTATCCGACTCAATTCTGTTTTGGTGTGTAATAAAAACCTATCACAGGATGTTCCTTATTATACTGTAGTAACATTAGGTTTGGGCTTTGTTTCCCTTTTTTTCTTCCTCAGGATGGGAAAATCTATCTGTACTCCATTCAGGGCAACACTCTGAAGGATGAGGGTCGAACACTCGAGGCTAAAGGGCCAATCACAGATATGGCTTACTCTAATGATGGAGCCTATCTGGCTGCTATCGATGAGAAGAAAGCTGCTACAGTCTATACTGTGGCAGACGGTTACACGGTATACATTTGTCTGGCTTGTACATCCACTTTGTGCATTTTTTAAGATGTAATATTCAGAGGATTTGTGAAAATTTTAGACGTCTGATTTATAATTATTATTTTTGCTCCCCCCCGAGGTCAAAAATGAGTTTTATGGACACCATGCCAAACCCGTGACCTTGGCCTGGTCACCTGATAATGAGCACTTTGCCACTGGTGGGATGGACATGATGGTGTTTGTCTGGACTGTTAATGATGCAGACCAGAGGATCAAACTCCCAGGTATGCTTGCATTCACTCAAGCATGCAGGTATACACAGCTGTACTTGGATGTTGCTGTGTATGAGCCATATAAATCCACTCTGCAACAGAATCCAAACATGGGAAAAATAAAGGCAGCTCATTCTTCAGGGTGTCTTGAGTATTGCATAAACTGAACTTGGCTGCAAATGTTTTTTAATTCATCACTTGTTTTTGTGTTATCTGCAGACACTCATCGGTTGTACCACGTTAGTAGCCTGGGCTGGATCGATGAGCACACTCTAGTCACTGCCTCCCATGATGCCAGCATCAAGCAGTGGACTATTAAATACTAAGCTGCAAGCAGACAAACATCCACATCTCCAGGGACAAGGACTGCTGTAGAAATGTTTTTTATTTTTATTTTCACTATCTAAATGGTGTTCTATGATGTCTGTAAACATCTGAATTGTAAATGGTTATGGCTGGGGAAAAGCTCCCATATAAATGATCTAAGATGATGCGCTTCTAATGCAAATAACCTGGACTTACAGAGAGGAAATGTTAAAGTAGTCAATGTAACTATCTACATCTCTTTGAGCATTATGGGCCCAGAAAAATATTTGTAAGCTCAACATTCCTTAGGAAATAGCCTTCACTCAGCTTAAATTGAAACCCTTGTCTGCCTGTGGTTGGGCTCACTACAACTTAACAGATAAACCAAAAGTTTTTGTTTTTTTTTAAATCATGAACAAAATGGTTTGAAATAAATGAAACCTTAGTTCCTGAAATGATAACTCCTAACTGCAGTTACCTGTTACTTTTTCATTGCAAGGTTTGAAGGGGGTGGGTGGTTTTGCTTTGTTTTAGGTTTCATACCTTTAGTGATTCATTACTCTTCCTTTTGCACTGGGGAGCAATAATAGGAACTGAAAGTATGTGTACAATCAAGATGCTGTCTGTTTAGTTGAAGGTTCTTGTTGTTGCTGTGTTTTTGTTTGGGCCTACTATGCTTGTCTCACTTTTTTCATGTCCTTATGCATCCACTTCCAAGGTGGAAGTGATTAATTAATAATAAAAAAAACACCTTTTTATGCATTTTTATTTCATGCCGATTTGTACTTTTTCCTATTCATCAGAACACATTTATGTGCAGATTGTAGGTACGATTTTATGGTATTCAGGAACACCCTTGGTATTTACAGGCAGGGGCCCTGTGGGGTACAGATCCTGAGAGTTGTAAATGGGGAAAAAAACCTGCTTAAAGATGATTTCCATGGTGCTCTGAGTTAAGTTGCACTTGTGTAATTAGTATTAGTAGAATGAACACTTTACATTGTCATGTCAATGTCTCCCATCTTTTCCTTTTTGTTGTCCAATTAGCAGAAATAGTTGAGAAAAGTGTCGCTGGCCTTGCTGATAAGTAAAGCACAATTCCTAAAATAAGAAGCTGCTAATGTTGGCAAACACCAGGCTAATTAAACTTCATATTGACTTAGCCCAATGACATCAGCTGGCCTAGAACTGGTCTCCCTTTTGACCATAACTTTATATTTAATGTCCTTCTCTGAGAAGGCAGTTAAGCTGGCACCAAGTGTTTCTGCTGTGCCTGTTAGTTCACCTACCCATCACTGTTTTGTCTAATGTTAAAAATGTTTATCTGCCAGACAACACAGCCCAACCTTGAATTTACCAGTTACACACATAGATGGCTTCAGTGTCTCTGTGCTTTATATTGACCTCAGAATTTATTCAGACCAACTTCTGGACACACATTGGCTACAAAAGGCCAAAATGAGGGTAACCTTAAGATCAGTTTTTCTAGTTCTCCTGCTCCGGGGAAGTTAGCAGGCAAAATCTGGGGAACTGCTAAGTGAAAAAATAGTCAGAGAGCTTGTATTTCTCTCACTGTTGATGCACAGTTTGCTACCAAAGAGAGTAAACGAGGAATTGTTCCTCCTCCTTTGGGTCAAGCAGTGATCTGCCCATTACACAGCTGGATGCTCCAATGTGTCTGTTAGAAGAAGCTGCAAAAAATAGAACAGTTATGACAATGGACAATAATGGCTCATAAAGCAACCTGCAAAGGAACAAAGTGTGACATAAACATTAATTTTAGCATTTAGGATTGTCCTTGATATTAGGTTTGATGCAGCCACATTGTGAGGCTAAAAGACATATGTACCATAATGTCAGTGTTTTGAAAATCCATCCTCTGTTGTATGTTTACCTGAACAGTGTGGAAAATGTGTTGCTTAGACCATCACATACAGTAAATCATAGTTGTTGTAAAAAAAAAAAAAAAAAAAATTCTATGGACAAACTTTAGATACTTTCTTTCCAACTGAAGTTGATTATGTAACTACGGTATCTGAATGCCAGCAGTAGATGATTTACTTATCAGGAAAGAAGGTGGTCTCTTGTAGCTGCACTATATACTGTGGCTCCAACCACATTTTGTTCATGTTTGGCTTCAGTAAATTAAGTTAGCCAGCAAGATCTCATGTGATGATGGTGGCTTTTTAATTCTGTGCCAGCAGCTACTTTGGTCGTGGAATTTGCACAGGTTTGGACAGTAAATGCTCAGAGACAAGCTGGTGAGTTTTCTTTCTAATTTTTCCACAATGAATGATCCTGTTCTTGTTGACATAATTAGGAGCTGTTAATGTCTACATTCATTCCCAATAATTGGTTCGTTGAGAGTTGTAACAGTACAGCTAGTGCTGGGTGGTAGCTACTGTAGGAGACACTGAGCCACTGACGCAGAGGGAAAAGCCAGTTTATAACAGAGCTGCTGATATCAGTTTGAAGACCAGATAAGAGTGATCTTTGAGATAGAATACAACAGGGACACAGGACATGACCCATGGAAATGACTTTGTAATGTTTGTACCTTGCTTATCACAGCACACAGGGACACAATCACAGTAATACCATTCACTCGATTTGACAGTGTTGTATGCATTGAAAAATTTGAGATTGTAGCTCTGCTCATCTGAACAGAGAGATAAAGGATTCAGTATTTGGCATAATTATTCTTTTTGTAGACATGAACAGTGCAATAATAATGCTTCATAAAATTTTAGCTTACATGACTGAAAATTGCTGAAACTTGTTCAAGATACTGTATGTTTGATATTGAAATGTAACTCAATAGACAAAAGATTTGTGTCACTTCAGCTATTTTCAGTGGTTTGCCATGTTCAGCCTGTGGGTTAGTATCTCAGTGAAATGTCTACCCACACCCTGAGAAACCTAATGCTTCTGTTACCTCAACTCCAGGGCTGTGCAAAGATATTCCAAAGGGTGGTGTTTACAAGCCTGTCTTTCATTACTTGACCATATCTTTTCCCCACAGGGGCTCTTTCCTGACCCAAATGCTTCTTTTCACAAAAGCAAACCACATACACTTCTTGCTTACTTCTTGATGTAACTATCACTTTTAAACTATGTCATGCCGTTGTTTAATATGCTATAGCGCATGTGTCAAACTCAAGGCCCGCGGGCCAAATGTGGCCCACCACGTCATTTTATGTGGCCCGCGATAGCTTAATAGGTGCAAATATATATTAAAATAAGTATATTCTGCTTTAAAGTGTGCACTGACCATAAACTATATCTCCCATAATGCATTTAGATTGTTACCCTTGAAGTAACGGCATTTTAAGTGGAATCTAAAAATCTTTACAGATGATCCCAAAATGTCCAAGAAAAGAGAAATTGCCCATTTTCCTGTTTGTCAGAGCATCTCAGCCTCAGTTCCCGGTGCTTTTTCATGTGCTTGGTTGGCTACCAAACTGAACCGGTTAAGGAATGAGTTTGATCGGCGCTTCTCTGGTTTTGCCATCTTTGTCAATCCTTTCACCACAGTGCGCCCCATCACCTTCAGATGGAGTTCATTGAGCTTCAAAGCGATAGTGGCCTGAGAACAAAGTTCCAAAATGCTGCAATCGAGGACTTTTACCGTCTACTGCCCCCTGGTTTGATGCCACAGCTCCGACTTCATGCGGCTCGTGTTCTGTCAATGTTTAGGAGCACCTATCTGTGGGAACAGATCTTTTCAATAATGAATCTGAACAAGACAAAGCACAGATCACGCATTACTGATGACAAACTCCACGCTGTTTTGCGGATTGCCTCAGCACAAAACCTAAAACATTGACACACTGGCCAGGGGAAAACGGTGTCAGACATCCGGCCAGAAGCATTTTTAAAAGCCTGAATTAAAATAGAATGTATTTCAACCAGGACTAAGAACAGTAGAATATGTGT